TCGTGTCTCTGGCAACCGAACCAATAGAACGAACGACTTGCTTTGGTAGCAACCCCAGATTTGTGTCTATATCTTGTGGAAGGATGAAATAGTATGAATAAATTAATCAAAATAATGTTTTTAATGAAATATGTCAATCATTATTTGAATATGTTGGTAACCCATTGTATAAAAGTGATAATGCCCTCGAAGCCGGTGCTTGGAGGATATATTGGCACGGTTTGTCAGCCCTCGACTTCGTCTCGGGCCTAACAACACCCATGCCAATATATCCTCCAAACACCGGCTTCTCTGGCATTATCACTTAAATAAGTCACTCTGTCTCTCAATCTGTACAGCTGCAATGACCGTTGTGTGTGTGAGTGAAAGTAAGCTTACCGACAAACACACTGCTTAGCTTCCTGGTCTGAGAGGAAATATACATACAAACGCACACATGCACACACACACACACAAGCACACCGGCCAGGCACACACATACAGAGAGAAAAGCTCCCACATAACTGTATAGTAGTGTGAGTCAGACAACCATTTTGAGGTCTATCTGTCTGTAAGGCTGGATAAGGCTTGTCCATCATGGATTGTGAAGGCAGACTTGATAACTCATCATCCCTCAGCGTTATGGCTCAGTGGTATTATAGCACCGGTATAATGGCAGAGTTACTGCCGCCAAGAGACCCTGAATAACCCTGCAGTGCCAACTCAACGCCCCCCCCCCCCCCCCCCAACCTGCCCAAACCTGAGAAACCAGAGCCAACACAATGCCACCAAGACAAGTCTTACCTCTAGCCTGATCCCCTGTCTGACCCTCTCCTTCTCACTCTAAAGCCAACACACAACCACCCCCCAGGACTAACATACATGCCCCTCTCCTGGCCAAGTGGACTAGACTGGGGTGGGGTGGGGTGGAGTGAGGTAGGGTAGTGTGGGATGGGGGGTGTCTCGCTTCCCAGTGTCAGCAAACATCCTCCCCAAGACTCCCCCCATCCTCCACCCCTCCATTCCCCCATCCATCCCCAGTCGCAGTTGTGCCAATGTAGCCTGTGTCTTACGTTTTTCCATTCCCTTCTCTCGTCAAAGAACCCAAATGGAATGGGACAATAAAAAAAGGACAAGAGTGGAGAGAGAGAGAGATAGAGAGAGAGAGAGAGAGAGAGAGAGAGAGAGAGAGAGAGAGAAAGAGAGAGAGACGTATCCTGGCATGGGTTTTGTTGTCTGCTCGTTTTTCACGGCCTGTGGTTTTATTGGACTTTCCGCGGGGCAAGGTTAAACGGCCACCGCTGCCCCGTTCACACACACAGAAACACACACCCCAACCCGGTCGTGCAGTTGCCAGTAAACGAACATGCATTGACACCAGGGCAAGTAACAGAGCAGGCTTTGTGTTACTCAGCAGTCCATTAGGGTAAGAGCGGTGTGTGTGTGTGTGTGTTTGGAGCAGTGCAGCGCTCGAAAACCCCAATTACAACTAGGAAGGGAGGAGACCCACAGCCCACTCCAAACAGAGGTGTGAGCTTTACTGGCCAGGGGAGTACAGGTGTGCCTGCTTGCCTGCTCAAGTGTGTGTGCCTGCATGTCTGTGTGTACGTGTGCCTGCCTGCGTGTGTGAGTGTGTGTGTGTGTGTGTGTGCAAATTAAAGTTTAGTTTATTAGTGGATTGGGCTGGGGGTTTGGGTATCCCTCCCTGTGTTTCCATAAGGCTTACACCTCCAGGCTGGAGAGTTCTGATAACCTGATTTTAACCTGCTCAACAGGAGTTTGGATTGGATGGTGTTACAGGTCGGACCCTCTATAAAGACAAAGAGAGTCACACACTCCTTATGTATAACCTCCCAGTAATTTATTGGGTAAATAACCACCAACGTTTCGTCATCACTGTGCCTTCTTCAGGGTAATGTCATGAATGCTTGATCTAGGTTATGTAGACAAACAGTGGCAATTAGTGCAACCAATGACAATAGTGAGGGGTGTGTCGTAATTGCTAGGTTGATCAGAATGAATTGAGTGAAACTGTTAAAAGACAATAGCCCACAGCATATTGAATATATTATGCCATTGTTATCATTAGCATTAGCATAACATTAGCATCAACATACATTGTTTCATTTAATTTCACCTATATATTTAAATATTTCCAATTTCATTAAATATTTGTGTCTAATAGAAAGCATGAGCTGGCGCATACGCAGAGAACATCACTTAGTGTAGAGGTGCTGACCAACGGAGAATAAACTGTAAGCTATAAAAACAAATAAAGAGAGCCGAGAACACTATGTATAAACTCCAGGTCATTTATTGGGTAAGAATACACCAACGTTTTGGCATCACTGTGCCTTCTTCAGGGTGTTAAATATTTTAAATATTTTTGCTGTATGTAATCTTTTGGTTAAACCATAATGCATAGTAAGCATCATCAACAGGGGGAACATATTGGGTGTACGCTGATAAGCTGTAGAAAAAATACATTAATTTACAAGACCTGTTCACAGAAAATATAATTGGTCATAAGAAGGGCCTGAGATCAAAATCAATATTCAGAACACTAGGGGTCAATGTTTTTAACCTCTATGGGATCGGTGTTCCGTATACGGGACGGTTGAGCTAATGTGCGGTAATGTGATTAGCATGACTGTTGTAAGTAACAGCAAGATTAAATTCTTGTTAATCTAACTGCACTGTCCAATTTACAGTAGCTGTTACAGTGAAAAAAGACCATGCTATTGTTTGAGGAGAGTGCATAACAACAAAACACTTATTTACATTTACATTTAAGTCATTTAGCAGACGCTCTTATCCAGAGCGACTTACAAATTGGTGCATTCAACTTATGATAGTCAGTGGGACAACCACCCTATTTTTATTTTATTTTGTATTTATTTATTAATGGGGGGGGTGGGGGAGTGGGGGTAGAAGGATTACTTTTATACTATTCCAGGTATTCCTTAAAGAGGTAGGGTTTCAAGTGTCTCCGGAAGGTGGTCAGTGATTCCGCTGTCCTGGCGTCGTGGGGGAGCTTGTTCCACCATTGGGGTGCCAGAGCGAATAGTTTTGACTGGGCTGAGCGGGAACTGTGCTTCCGTAGAGGTAGGGGAGCTAGCAGGCCAGAGGTGGATGAACGTAGTACCCTCGTTTGGGTGAAGGGTCTGATCAGAGCCTGAAGGTAAGGAGGTGCCGTTCCCCTCACAGCTCCGTAGGCAAGCACCATGGTTTTGTAGTAGATGCAAGCTTCAACTGGAAGCCAGTGGAGTGTGCGGAGGAGCGGGGTGACATGAGAGAACTTGGGAAGGTTGAACACCAGACGGGCTGCAGCGTTCTGGATACGTTTTAGGCGTTTAATGGCACAGGCAGGGAGCCCAGCCAACAGCGAGTTGCAGTAATCCAGACAGGAGATGAGAAGTGCCTGGATTAGGACCTGTACCGCTTTCTGTGTAAGGTAGGGTCGTACTCTGCAAATGTTGTAGAGCATGAACCTGCAGGATCGGGTCACCGCTTTGATGTTAGCGGAGAACGACAGGATGTTGTCCAGGGTCACGCCAAGGTTCTTTGCACTCTGGGAGGAGGACACAATGGAGTTGTCAACCGTGATGGCGAGATCATGGAGCGGGCAGTCCTTCCCCGGGAGGAAGAGCAGCTCCGTCTTGCCAAGGTTCAGCTTGAGGTGGTTATCCGACATCCACACTGATATGTCTGCCAGACATGCAGAGATGCGATTCGCCACCTGGTTATCAGAAGGGGGAAAGGAGAAAATTAATTGTGTGTCGTCTGCGTAGGAATGATAGGAGAGGCCATGTGAGGATATGACAGAGCCAAGTGGCTTGGTGTATAGAGAGAATAGGAGAGGGCCTAGAACTGATCCCTGGGGGACACCAGTGGTGAGAGCACGTGGTGCGAAGACAGATTCTCGCCACGCCACCTGGTAGGAGCGACCTGTCAGGTAGGACGCAATCCAAGAGTGAGCAGCGCTGGAGATGCCAAACTCGGAGAGGGTGGAGAGGAGGATCTGATGGTTCACAGTATCAAAGGCAGCAGATAGGTCTAGAAGGATAAGAGCAGAGGAGAGAGAGTTAGCTTTAGCAGTGCGGAGAGCCTCTGTGTCACAGAGAAGAGCAGTCTCAGTTGAATGACCAGTCTTGAAACCTGACTGGTTTTGATCAAGAAGGTAATTCTGGGAGAGATAGCAGGAGAGTTGGCTAGAGACGGCACGCTCAAGAGTTTTGGAGAGAAAAGAAAGAAGGGATACTGGTCTGTAGTTGTTGACATTGGTGGGATCGAGTGTAGGTTTTTTGAGGAGGGGTACAACTCTCGCTCTCTTGAAGACGGAAGGGACATAGCCAGCGGTCAAGGATGAGTTGATGAGCGAAGGTGAGGTAAGGGAGAAGTTCTCCGGAAATGGTCTGGAGAAGAGAGGAGGGGATAGGGTCAAGGGGGCAGGTTGTTGTGCGGCCGGCCGTCACAAGTCGCAAGCTTTCATCTGGAGAGAGAGGGGAGAAAGAAGTCACAGCAACTGGTTTGATACATTCACCTCTGAAGGTAAATAATGTACTTACATTCAGTAATCTTGCTCTGAGTTGTCATCCTAAGGGTCCCAGAGATAAAATGTAGCATAGTTTTGTTTGATAAAATCCATTTTTATATTCAAATGTAGGAACTGGGTTCTACAGTTTGAACAGTTTGAACCCCTGCTGTCTCTGGCTCCACACCCACCCCGCCCGGCCATCTAGATGTGTGAAAGTTAGTGTATAAGCTAATGATCCATCATGTATGACATTCCTGGGAGTGTGTAAACTTACATTTTGTATTACCATATAATTGTTTTATGTTCTCTATAGTTATGTACTTGAAAATGTATAAATTGACCAATTCGTCACATTTGGGCAGACTTGATACAACATAGTCCAGTATTACAATGCTTCACTGGATCAATCTGAAACGTTGCACACACACAAATCTAAATTGTTCTTACACCTGATTGAGCTGCGGTGTTCAGCTATGCTTTGTTTTTATTGTCTTTTCGTTTGTCCTACATAGGCTTTCCCACATGTACAGGTGATGAGATAGATTACGCCCTTTATCTTGTATGAGATGATACCCCTAACAGGGACTTTTTGACCTGTATGTGTGTGTCTGAAGAAGGATGTTTTTGTAGTGCTATTGCACTGTGCGCATGAGCCACATTTGTAGTTCCCATTTGGAATGGGTGTCAAGAGTGTCTGAGTGGGCTCAGGAGAAAGGTCAGATCTCACTAAGCTATCCCCAATATTGCGACCATGCTAATAGACCACCAGTGGAGGTTCCTTGAAGATGTATGCAATTATTTTGTCTGATTGCAGAATATGCCAGTGCTTTTGTCACGTTCGTCGACAGAAGATCCCACCATAAGAGGACCAAGCAGCGTGCCCAGGAGGAGAAGATGGCGATGTCGCAGGTGGGCAAATGGTGGTCTTGGGAGGAGATATTCGCAGGGAAAGGGCCATGGGCAAAGGTGAATGCCCAGGCAGGAGAGGAGACTGTGGAGGCGCGCTACAGAGAGGAGCGGCGGCAACGCAGAGGGTACCGGCCGGGGAGGAAGCCCGGCCTAAAAGGGTGGTTGGCGGAGCCTAGAGTTAGAGCAGAGCCAACTCCCCGTACTCAGGCTAGGAAGCGTGAGACTGGGCAGGCTCCATGTTATGCGGAGCCATGTACTGTGCCGCGAGTGTTCCGGCACAGTCCTGTACGTCCTGTACTAGCACCACGCACGTGTCGTGCTAAGGTGGGCATGCAGCCAGGACGGGGTGTGCCGGCTCAACGCTCGTGGCCTCCAGTACCCCTCCTCGGTCCCGTATATCCTGCGCCAGTGCCACGTGCTGTAGCGCCAGTACGAGTGCACAGCCCTGTACGTCCTGTGCTGATGCCTCACACATATTGTGTGGAAATAGGCATTCAGCCAGGACGGGTTGTGTCAGCTCTCTGCTCCAGACCTCCAGTCCGCCTCCACAGTCCGGCCCGGCCCGTTCCGGCTCCCCGCACCAAGCCAGTGGTGCGCGTCGCCAGCCCGGTCCGGCCTGTTCCTGCTCCCCGCACCAAGCCAGTGGTGCGCGTCGTCAGCCCGGTCCGGCCTGTTCCTGCTCCCCGCACCAAGCCAGTGGTGCGCGTCGTCAGCCCGGTCCGGCCCGTTCCTGCTCCCCGCACCAAGCCAGTGGTGCGCGTCGTCAGCCCGGTCCGGCCCGTTCCTGCTCCCCGCACCAAGCCAGTGGTGCGTGTGTCCAGTCCGGCACGGCCTGTGCCTGTTCCACCGGTGCCTGGTCCGGCACCGGTCAGCTGCTCCACTCCGGAGCCAGAGCAATCCGCTCCACCGGGGTCCGGTCCAACTCCAGTCAGCGGATCCACTCCGGAGCCAGACCAATCCGCTCCACCGGTGTCCAGTCCAGCTCCGGCCAGCGGGACCAGATCAGGGGCGCAACGGGGGGGTGGAGAGAGAGTGGTGGTCAAGCCCGGAGCCGGATCCGCCTCCGAGGCGGAATGCCCACCCGGCCCCTACCCTCAGATTTGTTAAACCCTGCATAACTGGCTATATGGTAGACCATTATTGAGGGGAAGGGGATACATACTATCTCTACATAGTAGGGTATTGCGGTCTGTGGGCTTTGTGTATAACTCTGTATGTAATGCACCTTCTCTTTAATGAGCCATAAGTCCAGATAGTTTATTTTTCTCTCATCAGTCCGCATGGTGAATTTGAGATATTCAGAGCTCTCGTTTAACAATTTGGAATTAATTTAATTCCTGCTGACTTCTATCCCAGAGCACAAAGACATCATCTATGTATCTCTTCCATAGGAGGATTTTAGGAAATAGGGTGTGTGTCTCTGTTTTGTAAATGAGTGCCTCCTCAAATTGTCCCACATACAGGTTCGCATTGTTGGGGACAGTTCAAACCCTCGCCATCCCATAGTATACAGTGGGGAAAAAAAGTATTTAGTCAGCCACCAATTGTGCAAGTTCTCCCACTTAAAAAGATGAGAGAGGCCTGTAATTTTCATCATAGGTACACGTCAACGATGACAGACAAATTGAGAGAAAAAAACCCCAGAAAATCACATTGTAGGATTTTTTATGAATTTATTTGCAAGTTATGGTGGAAAATAAGTATTTGGTCACCTACAAACAAGCAAGATTTCTGGCTCTCACAGACCTGTAACTTCTTCTTTAAGAGGCTCCTCTGTCCTCCACTCGTTACCTGTATTAATGGCACCTGTTTGAACTTGTTATCAGTATAAAAGACACCTGTCCACAACCTCAAACAGTCACACTCCAAACTCCACTATGGCCAAGACCAAAGAGCTGTCAAAGGACACCAGAAACAAAATTGTAGACCTGCACCAGGCTGGGAAGACTGAATCTGCAATAGGTAAGCAGCTTGGTTTGAATAAATCAACTGTGGGAGCAATTATTAGGAAATGGAAGACATACAAGACCACTGATAATCTCCCTCGATCTGGGGCTCCACGCAAGATCTCACCCCGTGGGGTCAAAATGATCACAAGAACGGTGAGCAAAAATCCCAGAACCACACGGGGGGACCTAGTGAATATCCTGCAGAGAGCTGGGACCAAAGTAACAAAGCCTACCATCAGTAACACACTACGCCGCCAGGGACTCAAATCCTGCAGTGCCAGACGTGTCCCCCTGCTTAAGCCAGTACATGTCCAGGCCCGTCTGAAGTTTGCTAGAGTGCATTTGGATGATCCAGAAGAGGATTGGGAGAATGTCATATGGTCAGATGAAACCAAAATATAACTTTTTGGTAAAAACTCAACTCGTCGTGTTTGGAGGACAAAGAATGCTGAGTTGCATCCAAAGAACACCATACCTACTGTGAAGCATGGGGGTGGAAACATCATGCTTTGGGACTGTTTTTCTGCAAAGGGACCAGGACGACTGATCCATATAAAGGAAAGAATGAATGGGGCCATATATCGTGAGATTTTGAGTGAAAACCTCCTTCCATCAGCAATGGCATTGAAGATGAAACATGGCTGGGTCTTTCAGCATGACAATGATCCCAAACACACCGCCCGGGCAACGAAGGAGTGGCTTCGTAAGAAGCATTTCAAGGTCCTGGAGTGGCCTAGCCAGTCTCCAGATCTCAACCCCATAGAAAATCTTTGGAGGGAGTTGAAAGTCCGTGGAGATCTGCATGGAGGAATGGGCCAAAATACCAGCAACAGTGTGTGAAAACCTTGTGAAGACTTACAGAAAACGTTTGACCTGTGTCATTGCCAACAAAGGGTATATAACAAAGTATTGAGAAACTTTTGTTATTGACCAAATACTTATTTTCCACCATAATTTGCAAATAAATTCATTAAAAATCCTACAATATGATTTTCTGGATTTTCTTTTCTCATTTTGTCTGTCATAGTTGACGTGTACCTATGATGAAAATTACAGGCCTCTCTCATCTTTTTAAGTGGGAGAACTTGCACAATTGGTGGCTGACTAAATAATTTTTTTCCCCTCTGTACATACAACCATAGTTACCAGTCTGAGTTCTAGTTACACTGCCCAGGCCCAGGCCCAGTCTGTGGGATCGTCATGGTTTAAGTATGTGATAGGGATAGTAAATTGTGTGTGTGTGTATTGACAGTGAACTGATAATGATGCCAATGCCATCAGTGTGAAGATAACAGTTTGATTAGCTTCCTGAGCTGATGACTTGGTTTGTAACATAAACACACTCACACAAATTTTTTTCATTATAATAACAGGTTAAAATGCTAATAAAGCAGATATGATTATACTTGCCAGTGTAAATGACCTGGCAGCAGAGAAAGCATAGAAAGCACCCGGGGCAGAGGAGAAGCTACTGCGTCGGTTGAGACAGGATCGATCTGACACAAGGTGGTTTCCAACATTTATCTTCGCTTAACGGGCACACGCTATTTTCAAATGAATATGTCAATTATATTCATTCATGAATGTTCCTTTGGTGACCGACTTTGGTGACCGACTTTGATAGCTTGTTTTTTCGCCTTTAAACATTATCAAACTTGAAAAGTCAGTTTTGACATTGTGATTCAGCATCTGTGTAGTTGTATAATATACAGCAAATATTTACAATGTAATAACTGTGAAACAAGAAAGTGGTGACATGGGGCCATATGCACACAACCCTCGTCCCCCAACAGAAAAATTCCATATTCCTCAAAATAAGTCAGTCTAGTCTAACTTTCTAGTCTGGGGTCTGTTTTTGCTCAACGTCTAAAGCTGTCACTTTTATATGAAATAATTACTACAAATGTGGTGTGTGTGCATGACTGGATTCATTGGATTGTGCTGTAGCTAACGCTTAGTGCCTGCTCCGCGTCATGGCAACAGGGACACAGTAAAGAGACAAGCCACTAGGTAATTATGGTCTGGTGGCCTAATACGTAGCAACATGCGACTTAACTTTATGAGTTTATGTGGCCTAGAACTCCAAATCTGAAGGTCTAATAATGGGGGCATATAGGTTGTGGAGTACTGTGTTGTGTAAGCCTGAACTGTTGTAACCCAACCTGTTTTTCTACCCCTTGTAACGGCTTTGTAACTAATTGAATAATAGCCAACAGTTAAACTGACACTGAATAACAATGTTCCAGTGTAAATGTAAAATAAAACAAGTAATATTTTTCTGTCAGCCTGAAGTAATTGAATTTCAAAGTATTCATTTTAACCTTTTATTTCGCTATCATAGAATGTTCGCTATTGTCACGATCGTTGAGAGACGGGTCAGACCAAGGTGCAGCGTGGTATGCGAACATGTTTATTTAACTCAAGAAACATAAACAAAACAAGAAACAACTTAACGTGAAGTCCTCAGGCTAAACACATACAAGCCTAACACGGAACAAGATCCCACAACTAAGGTAGGCAAACAGGCTACTAAAGTATGATCCCCAATCAGAGACAACGAGCGACAGCTGTCTCTGATTGGGAATCACTCCCGGCCAAACATAGAATTTCTAGCATAGATTCTCACGCTCTGACCAAACCAACTAAAGACGACCGGCCTCTCAAGGCCAGGGCGTGACAGCTATCATCATGTTCTGATGTCCATCTGTCTTTCCAAGCATTTTCTGTGCCCTTAAATTGCATCTGTAAATTAAAATATTAAACTAAAAACAATTTTTTCTGTAGCTAGCTTTCCATCCAATTGGCGACAGATTTTCATGCAAATATTCTAAAATCCGCATTGAAGAAATATGTTCCACCAAACAGACTTGTTGCAGATAGAATTTGGTGCGCCGATGACGTAGTGCACATAAAATGTACTTTTCCGCGTAAGTTTTCATGTACCGAATAAAAACCAAGAGTTCAATCTGTTTCCATCGTATTTTCAACTCTACCTTTTTTTCAAAAAACCTTTTGCGTTAAATAGCAAATGTTCCTACCCTGGTCTTGGCATGTGTGCTCTAGCCAACAGCTCGCAGATACAGGTAGTCTAGGCCAACAAAATGAGATTATTATGGATAACAGCAAGAATATTTTTATTTGTCAAACTGCAGTCAAGCATCGATCATCACGTCACCAGAATCAGACCCTCAATATTTATTGGAAAGGAGCATCAAGATCACCGTGCACGTTCATCATAAGTTATTTTGTTTGTAGGCTAATCAATTGCAAGTTATCCCTAGTCATAGTGGGAGGAATGTTTCTGAAAATGTCCATAGTTATTAGATTTTCATAGTTGCTTACATATTCTTTTTGTGTTTTCATAGTAAAACAAAAATAGTTGTGATCCTCCTCATTATTACCAAACTAAATTCAACAATACAGCTAATATAAAGGTTACTGTCTAGGCTGCCATAACCCTCAAGCTTTAATTAAATGTCTATTTCGAGACATTATTAAACATGACTTTATAATATTCAGTGTTGATATCAGTCTATATAATTCAGTGCTTTACTTGGATAAAAGTCTCCAGATAGTTCCACCATATAGTTATAGGCTATGATCTGTATCTGTGTGTGTCTGTGCATTATGGTGCGAGGGCTAGAACATGACACCGGGCCACAATGTTCAGCCAAACACCCAAAACCCTCTCTTCATAACTCCAGGGTGCACGCATGCACGCATAGAGCACACGCACGCACAGAGCACATACACGCACACATACACACACAGAGCACAACACTGCACAGCACATAGAAAGCCATTAGAAGATCATTTGTTTTACCGCAGATAAAATCTCCTTGTGTGTCTGGTCCAAGAGAGCAGCAGCACCAGGCAGAGAGGTTGGCGGTCTGGCACACTTACCCGCCCTGTGGTGCTGTTGGACCGAAAACCCTCCACTAGCAGAGTCGGGGTGGTCCTCTCCATCCCTCCTTGTTTGGGCAGGCTTCGGCGTTCGTCGTTACCGGCTTACTAGCCACTGCCGCTCCATATTTCATCATTCCATTTGTCTTGTCTTGTTAATTACACACACCTGGTTCTTATCCCCTCAGTAGTCCGTGTATAAGTGTTCCCTCTGCCCCCCTTGTCCTTGTGGGTGATTGTTATTTGTGAGAGTAGTGTAGCTCGGTAGAGCTCCTTGCACTTTGTATTGCCGGGGTAGATATGTCCCCTGTGCCTGTATATTATTGGAGTATCCCTTACCGTGTTTTGCTAGGATAGATAGTTTCCCTGTGCCTGTTTTTGTGTGTCGCTATCCAGCGCTATTTGTGTACGACGGAATAAACTCTGTTTC